CAAACATCTTTATAGAATAAGATCACGCTCAAATGAAATCATCAAACACAGACGAGATAGGGCACGTTCAGGGTGGTATGGCTGTAGACGTCATCAAATACAGAAGAGCCAACAAAAGATGTGGCACTTATGAAAAGACAAAAGTCTTAGATACGTTAGAAAGTTGCAGAAATGCCATATGAAGAATGTTCTAATAGTAGAAGTGATTTAGATGGAAAACAGTTTGCAACTGAAAACAATAAGCAGTGCATTTTGGCAAAAACACAGAGTATGAAAGGAGAATATTGAATACCTATTGATAAGTAGGAAACTATGCCAGGCCACACTGGTTTAAAACAATGAGCAGTTATCACTTGTTTCTATGAGTCAAGAATCCCGGCTGGGCTTACCAGAGTCCTGTGCTGAAGGTTTCCCCTGCAGACAAAATCACCTCAAGAATCCACTGAGCCGGAGCTCCCCACAAGCTTATTCTTGACTTCGGGCAGGCTTGTGGAATTCCCTGTTTTTGCCAGTAATATCAGCTTTTGACCCATGGATCTTCCCATGGAGCAATTTAAGGCATGGTAGCTTGAGCAAGAGACAGGTGATATGGCAAAAGGACAAGAAAAATGCAAGCCACAAACTTTTTTAAAGATTCTTTTATGTGTATGGGTGTTCTCTCTCTCTCGCTCGCTCTCGCTCTCTCTGTGTGTGTGTGTGTGTGTCTGTGTGTGTGTCTGCGAGTGCGCAGGTGTGTGCATGCACACGTGTGCACATGCCTGGTGCCCATGAATGTTGGAAGAAGGCATTAGAATCCCTGAATGGTGGGGGTGGTTATGGATGGTTGTGAGCCGCATGAGGGTGCTGAGAATCAAACCTAGGTCCTCTGAAGGAACAAGCACTGAGCCATCTCTCCAGTTCCCATGAAAGTTAGTGCATTTTTGTAACCAAGTTAGAAGTAAGGAGGCCGGAGATACGGCTCAACAGTGAAGATCATGTGCTGTCCCTACAGAACACTGGAGTTTCTCAGCAACCTTGTCCGCACAATCAGCATTAACCAATCAGCATTAACCCTAGCTCCCGGGGATCCCATCCCTCTGGCTTCTCACACACACAAAGACAGAGAGACTCAGAGAGAGAATGAGTATTTTTTTTTTATTTTTTTAAACAAGAAGTGATGTGCTGGTATTTTTGCTAAGGAGAGCCACATTACTAGGCCCAGTCTAGAGGATTTCCAAAAGGCAGGAGACTAGAAAGCAAGAGTCCATCACTAGCAGAATTACAGACCAGGCCAAATCAGGGTTACAGACACCCACCTCAGAATGAGACTTGCTAAAATGGAAGACGGGAAACAAACCCACTATAGGCTGAAGTACTGAATAAAAAAACTTTTAAGGGTCACTCTTAAGTCTAGCTATTTAATAGGTTGGGAAGGTTAGCTAATTACAGCCTCCCAGGAGAACCAAACAAAACTCTATTTTATAAGTCAATAATGGTCAAATAATTCTATAGAAGGTAGCTATCCACTCTCGCAAAAAAAAAAAAAAAAAAAAAAAAAAAAACTTCCAACAACCATGCTGAATGGAGGTGGTGCATGCCTGTAATCCCAGCTAGGGAGGCTGAGGCAGGCAGATCTCTGAGTTCAAATTCAGCCTGGTCTACAGAGTAAGTTCCAGGACAGCCAGGGCTAAACACCCAGAAACCTTGGCTGGAGGGTGGGGGTGGGGGAACAAAACCAAACGAACAAAACAAAAAAACACCGCATGAAACTTTCCGTCGCCTATGCTGACAATATACTCAAGAAAAATCCAGAGCTTTTGTGTGGCTGCCCTTCTCTCAAGGAATTGGCTACCAGATTGTTTTCAGACTTCTTGGATCCCAGCAATGAAAACATTTTACATCACAAAAAAACGGGTGTGGCGGCAAATGCAGAGGTGAAAGTTCCAGCTGTAATCCCAACCCCAGGTGTTAAGGAAAGAGGGCAGGTGTAAGGAAAGTGGGTCCTGAGTTCCAGTCCAGCCTGGGCATGTTTTTGAAATTCTGGTTCAAAAATACCCTTCAAGTACATTTTACATCACAACTCAAAATGCCTTCTATTTAGTCAAAGTACGAGTTTCATAGCAAAATGCTTAGTATTGCTGCAGGCGGGATGTGATTTCTCCCCATTCTATTTTACTCATTAAAGAAGACTGTTAAGCTGGTTGGTACCCGCTGAATTCAGTCTCAAACACTTGGTCCCTCTTTTGCAGTTTGAAAAATGCAGGGTATCATTTTTGCAACATTTGGTGATACAGTTGCATCTCCTGCAACATTTGGTGATGCAGTTGTGTTTCCTGCTAGACAAAGGAAAAAACAAAATCAATAACTCAGTTGAGGTCTTGGGAAAACGCTTGTGTTACAATTAAAAAAAATAAAGATTTATTGCCGGGCGGTGGTGGCGCATGCCTTTAATCTCAGCACTTGGGAGGCAGAGGCAGGCAAATTTCTGAATTCGAGGCCAGCCTGGTCTACAGAGTGAGTTCCAGGACAGCCAGGGCTACACAGAGAAACCCTGTCTCGGAAAACCAAAAAAAGCCGGGCAGTGGTGGCGCATGCCTTTAATCCCAGCACTTGGGAGGCAGAGGCAGGTGGATTTCTGAGTTCGATAGTTCGAGGCTAGCCTGGTCTACAGAGTGAGTTCCAGGACAGCCAGGGCTACACAGAGAAACCCTGTCTCGGAAAAAAAAAAATAGGATTTATTTTTAAGTGTATTGGTGTTTTGCCTACATGTTCGTCTGTGCACGGGGTGCGTGCTGCAATCACCGCTGCAGAAGCTGGGAGAGGGCTTTCGATCCCCTGGAGCTGCGTTAAATGTGGTAGTGTTAGAGTTCAAATGTATACATTGTTACACAAACCAGGCCACTTAAGAAAGAAGTGACATCAATGAATAAAGTAGGTGTGTCTGGGATAGAGGTGTCTCCCGGAGCAAGGCGTCACTGAGTTAGGGCTGGCTGTCACAGTGGTGAGCTGCTTCTGAGAACTGAATCTGAGTCCTCTGGAAATGCAGCCAGTGTTCTTAACCTCCGAGCCATCTCTCCAGGCCCAATAAGTTAATTTTCTCTGTTGGGAGAAATCAAAGTGGTGATAGAAAGTTCCTTTTTTGCTTTGTTATGGTCATGTACTATTTATTGAGTTTCTGACCATCTAGAAATTCGGATAAAGATTACAAGCCTCCAAACCCCCTCTCTCCTTTCCTCCCTTCCTCCCTCCCTCCCCACCTCTCTTTTTAACTACCCTGTAGTATGAACCATCAGAAAGTCCAAAGGACAATAGGTCTAGTATTGCAAATTGCAGCCATAACCAACAACCTACAGAACTTCCTGAATTACCTCTGACAGGGCGAGAGATTTACCTAGAATGAAAAGGTGGTTTAAGACCTTTTGATTTTTATCAGTTGAAACCTGATAGAAAAGAATTTCCCAGGATTCCTCGAGTCCACCACCGAGCTCCCCCCTACACACACACACACACACACACACACACACACACGCACACGCAGAGGATGATCCGATGTTACTAGGGTGTGCATTTGGAAAGAAGGTAATCAAGACATTTTTTGTCCCGATTATATGTCAAATTCCTAACCTCCCCTCTGAGGAGAGTTCGGTCTCCGTGTGGAGACCGTGGACACAAGACTACAAATGTGAGCAAGCTGAGGACTGTACAAGACAGCACACAGGTTTATTAAGTTCGGACACCACACGGTTTAGAAAACCGAACTGCAAAAAGAGGTCTGATGAGGGACGCATTAATTAAGGCCGGAAAAAAAAGCTATCCTGGCTCTAAGTGACACTTGAGACAGGCAAGGGGACATGCAGCATTCTTGTATGGCTATTGTTTAAGTGTGGCTGGTGGGGTCAGAGGTTTAGGACGAGGAACCCAGTGTGTAAAGGGGAAATAGGGTCCTGCCCTGTCAATCACGAACACTGGCACAGTCCGAAGGCACCTCAAGTCTTACGTGCCACGGAAATAGGCTGCGTTACAGATTTCCTCAGGAAAACATTGAAGGCAAAAACTGTGATCACACCCAGCCCTTTCCTCTATGCCCAGCCCAGTCTCTCCCACGTCCCCCAAAGGAAGAGAGCCCCAGGTCAAACTCGTTTGTTTATTCCTTCCTTCAAGCAGCATTTCTCTCTCCTCGGGGGTCTTTGTTCAACCGAAAGGGAAGGGCCCTCGCCTTTCCGGCAGCACCGAATATTCTAGTCTAGGGGCCCCCTGAGCAGCTCTGCAAGACCACAGCTCCACCGGTGAATCCGGGCTGCAGAGCAAGCTCCAGGCCTACATTCCAACGAGGGCGCGCTCGCTGGAAGCCCGGGGAGCCGACTAGCACCAGGGGTGGGGTGGTGGCAGGAGGGAAAGTGTCCGCCAAGAGGGAATAGGACGCTCCTCGGACGGCCCTGGACCCCTTATAAGGTGTGTCTGGCTTGCTGGTCAAACGCAACCCTCCCTAGTACGCTGTGACACGTGCAACCCAAAAGTCTATCCCGAAACGGAGCTGCGAGCCGCCCCTCATTCACCAGGGTAGTCGCGGAAGAGTGAAAGCACATCTAGGTGGAAAGATCGAGAACACAAACCGGGGCAGCGCGGCAGCGCCGGCTCGCTCAAGTTCTGCGGGAGAAAAACCCTTCACGTAAATCAGATCTTAAGTCACGGGCTGGGAATGGTTGCGGGGGGGGGGGGGGTTAGAGTACTGCACACGCGCCGGATGTGTGCCCCGAAACGCAAGCATTGGAGACTGGGGCTGGGAGGTAATCTAAGGGAGCTGGCTCCTTACGGCGGCCGCGGGTGGCGGCCACCCACGGGGCTGCGGTGCCCCGAGCCGCGGGGAAGCGGGGTGCGGCTGGCCCCCCGACTTGGGGTGCGGGGCAGCCGGCGGGAGGCGGAGCCCAGGTGCTGTTGGTACACAAAGGGGAACGCCCGCGCCCCGCCCACTGACGCGGCGCCCCGCCGCTATAACTCGCGCTCAGGAGGCAGCTCCACACCGCGCCACGCCGTCGCCCGCGCCGCCACCCCTCACTCAGTCTCCGCCCGAGGACCGTGACCGCCATTCTCCCCCCCCCCGCTTCTTCTCTCCTTTAATCATTAAATTTAAGAAAATAAAAATCCACCTCTTCTGCCTGTTGGATTGCGGGGATTTTTTTTTAAATTTTTATTATTTAAAAGAAAAAAAAGAAAGAAAAGACTCCGTCACTGTTATTTTTCGTCTCGTTTTAACAATCCTGGTGTGACCCAAGACAGCCCCGCCGGGAGACGCTGCCGTGAGGTGGGCCAGCTCGCAGGGAGAGCACCGAGGTGAGGCGGGGGAGGGGCGGGAGCGGGGGACGCGGGCGGCGCCGGCGGCGGGAGCGGGGCTTTGCGGGCACCCGGCCGCAATCTCCCGTTAGGGGGAAGGGGGAGCCGCGCACGGGCCGCTCGGCTGCTGCAAGCAGGGTCTTGTGACTCGATTGGCTTGAAAATAATCGTCAAGTCCCGGCGTGGGGAGACAGGCGAGCCGCGAGGGCTTGACAATCGCCCCTCGGTATTGCATCAGTTCCTCCCGGGGTAGATAGAGGAGGAGCCGCTGACCGGGGTACCCGGGGCAGCCACGGCTGCCGGAGGGCTCGGCGTGCGCCCTGTAAACAAGCCCCGGCTGGGGCGGGGGCACCGGGCTCAGCGCCGGGGCGGCTGGAGGGGGCGCCTCGGCGGGCGCATCTTTGTTCTCGCGGCCCCGCCGTCGGTACTTTTCCGCCCCTCGCCGAGCCCCCGCCCCTCGCTCGCCTGGTACTTTTCCACTCGCCTGGCGGGGGATGAATCAGCCGCGCTGCGCCGCCCGGCGGCGTCACGTGGTCGGGGGCGGGCGGGCGCCGCAGTCCTGACGCGCCGCCTTCTACCTTCGCAGGCAGCCTCGAGGGCCAGTGCGCCGCCAAGGACAAAAGGAAGCCCGCGCCGTCCGCCGTTCCTCGCCGTCAGCATGAAGAAGACCGAGATGGGAAGGTTCAACATCTCCCCGGATGAGGACAGCAGCAGTTACAGCTCCAACAGTGACTTCAACTACTCCTACCCCACCAAGCAGGCTGCTCTGAAAAGGTGGGAGAAGTGCGCTTTGCAAAAAAAAAATCAGCTTGTACACATACACAGATGCCTCGGGGAGGGATTGCTCATCGGTTACAGGCTAACGCTCACACCCAGGAACCAGAAGGCTCACCCAGGAACCTGTTCTGTCTCCCCTTGTTCACACAGCCCCAGAGAGTAGCTTCCTAAATAACCGGGTTATTGCATGACGGACAGTATTACCTTCTAGAACACCTAGCCCATGTGAGAATTCCTGCGTTTAACTTAAGCAGAACTGAAGGGCCATCTTACTTTAAACTTATAAAAACATCATTTTCATATCTTTCAGTTGGGTTACAATGACCTTTTTTTTTTTTTTTTAAATTTTCGCAGCCATTATGTGGACGTGGATCCGGAGAACCAGAACTTTTTACTTGAATCAAATTTGGGGAAGAAGAAGTACGAGACAGACTTTGTAAGTGAACAGTACTGTTATGTGCCTGGCTTTATGGAGTAAAAGAATAGTGTTACTTTTAGATTTCAAATCTGACTTGCCCAAAGCTGGTTTTTTCTCCTTTTAATTATTGTTATATGTTTGGTTATCGTTTCCCTCTGTATAGCATCCAGGTACTACTTCCTTTGGAATGTCAGTATTTAATCTGAGCAATGCGATTGTGGGCAGTGGAATCCTTGGGCTTTCTTATGCCATGGCTAATACTGGAATTGCTCTTTTTATGTAAGTATGTGTAAGTAGTGAGCCTGCCGTGCAGGGCAGTTAATATGATAAACGTATTCTTGGCTCCAGGAAAAAAAAAAAAGAAAGCAACTTGGCGGTTCAGAGTAGTTGGTGTTAAAGATGATTTCAAGTCTGAAAGTGTCAGAGATCCGAAACTGTTTTTACTGTATGTGACACATCCTCGTGCAAGCAAGTTAGACAGAACGTGGGGTAGCGCTTAAAAACTGACGGGTTAAGGCCAGTCTTTTCCAGAAGGTATTGTTAATTGTAAGTAAGAGAGATATCGGTGATTCTAGAGTAATTAACTTTTAATCAAAGCGGAAGTGGCTCCGTAAGTTGACCGTCTCGCCCTAAAACCTGTGACATAAGGAAAAGAAAGTTCGAGGTGTATAAGGCGTGGTGATATTTACCTAGCCTAGAACATAGTTGTCTTAGAGCAAGTGAGTCATAATTTTCTGGATGCTTAAAAAGCAAACTCACTTTTTTAAAAACAATGTTTTTCCGGATACATGTGATTGGTGCCTGACTTTTAAATAAGAGTCTACTAGTGGTTTTTTGGGTTTTTTTGGGGGGGGGGGCTTGTTTTTTTTAAGTTACTTGGCTGAACCTCTGCTCTCCAGAAGTCACGTTTGGAGGGTACCCATTTGGGGGTCACTTGCCCATGGGTAGTATGATTGGAGAGTGGTAGACTAGTGGTCAGCAGTAGAGCTTGCCAAGCGTGCATGGTTGGTTTCTGCGTTTTGAATCCCGGGACCATCAGAGCAGTAGCAGTAAAAAAAAAAAAAAGTGCTATTTCTGAGTACAAGAGCACGTATACGTTTGGGTATGTAGTTCTCATGTGTCAAAAGTTTGAAACTGCCTATAGATATGGCTGACACAGTCCCTGTGGAGGTGCCTCTGACTTCACCATAGCTTCTACACTGAAGAGAAGTGCACGCACTCGACAGCTGTCCCTTCCTTTTTTACCGCAGTTAAACTGGTGTGGTTAGCTGATGGGTACTTAACACTCAGGTTACTTTCTCTGCCGCCTTCATAAGAAAAGCTCTGCTCTGTAAAAGCCCACACAGATGTTAAAGTCTGGCTTTGGGTCCTATGAGCATTGAGGTGAAGATTGGAGGCGGGGGCTTCTTGCCAAAACAAGGCCTCGGCAACTTTAGGTACAGAACATCCTGAGATTTCAGGTTTTGTTGGGAATTTGAGCGGCCGCAATCAAAGTTAAATATTTGAAACCCTTCCCAGCTCTTGCCATGAAGACTGGGAACAGTTTTTTAAATTCTACCAATGTGGTCATTGGTAACTCTTGTTTCGTAACGGAAAGTAAAGCCCAATGGTATTACCCTTGAGCTTTCGGGAGTCCGCTTTTAACAGCTTACCGTGTGTTTGATTAACCATTTTAATAAATGGCTAAATGATACCAAGATTGTGTGAGCTTTTTTTATTCATCGAAACTTAACATTGCATAGAAAGGTGAATAGGCCAAAAGCCACATGCTGAAATGGCTAGCCGACCTTGTACAGAGTGTTAATCTTCAGGTTGAAAGTGACCTCCAGGGGTGTTGTCATCTCTGTAAGACACAGCACCTAATTTGCTCTAGCTGGTTTTTTTGTTTTGTTTTTAATCAAATCACCCTTTTTCCCAAGAGGTCAGGCTAACAGTGTCACCCCAGAACCAGGTGTCCTAAGGCTGACCTTAGGATGGAAGTCACATCCCGTGCTTTATGTACTGATGGTTGGTGGTGGTTGTTTTTGTTTTTTTGGGGATTTTTTTGCCAGCACCTCATGTACTGTACAGCTTGCCCATACAAGGTCAAAATTTCTGTGACTGTCTATTTTGCCCATTTGCTGTTTTTGTTTCCTTTTAACCACTGCCTTGTCTACCTTTGAGACTTGACGAGGAACCTGTCCCCTCAAGGAAGACGGTAGTGTTAGATCCTTCTGGTCCTTCCTTATTTTTCTCTGCCAATCGAGAGAAAGCTGGAGCTGATAACTCACTTGTTTAGTGCTGAGGATTCCTTACCGCAGGGTGCAGTGTTTCTTCCTCACAGCTGTCTCTTCTCCAGTTCAGTTCAGTTTTTTAATCGTGTCCTACTGACTGAATGTTACCTCCACCCCCACCCATCTCCTTTCTCTTAGTCTCTGCTCCATGGGCTCTCGGCCTTTCCTGACCCATCTCAAACTGAGTGGGATGGAGGCCTTATGGACTAGGTTTAAAGGCAAGTTTTAAAGGAAGCTTAGGAACTTGGGACAGGCGTATAGTTACAATGCCAGGATACAAGTTTCTACTCCTCTAGGACTTGGGGCTTTGCAGAGTCTCCTGCATTTGGCAGTGTGGACATTGCTTCTAAAACAGTGAGACTCACCTGATACCTACGAGTCAGTCAGTCAGTCAGGAGTTAGGAGAGGGAGTCGCACCAGAGCTGTGTGAGATGGGGAGTGTTTGTGAACGCACAGCCCTGCTTATTTATAACCGGGTGCCGTTCCCTTTCTCAGAATCCTCCTGACGTTCGTGTCAATTTTCTCCCTTTACTCCGTCCATCTCCTCCTCAAGACGGCCAACGAAGGAGGTACAGTAGCTTTCTTGTTTTTTTTTTTCCTTTTCCCCTTCTCCTTCCCCAAGTAATTTAATGCACCTCCTAATTTGAGGGGGTGGGGATTTCAGGGCGCCTCATTTCTCTGTTCTTCCATACAGGATCTTTACTATACGAACAGTTGGGACATAAGGCATACGGTCTGGCTGGGAAGCTAGCAGCCTCCGGATCGATTACAATGCAGAACATTGGAGGTGAGTTTTAAAAGGGCACTCTGGGTAGACTTCATTTTCGTAGTAGCTCAAGGTGGTGACACGTGACTGCGGTGTCACAGACCCCATTTTGCACTTGTAATGGTTTAATTTTGTTTTCCTCCAGCTATGTCAAGCTACCTCTTCATAGTGAAATATGAGTTACCTTTGGTGATCAAGGCATTAATGAACATTGAAGATACGAATGGGTAGGTGCCGAGTAAGGTTATCCACAGAAACGGTTGCAGATACACTTTGGTCAAAGTTGGATGTTAAAAAAACAGTTACCCATGCATTTCCCAGAACTGTTCCCATGGGGAATACTTCTGACAAAAGAAGTGTCCCACATGCTGAACTGCAGCAGCCTGCTCTTAGCTTGGACAGGCAAATACACAAACCTGGAACTTTTCTCGTGCCTGAATTCACCTCTCGTTAATGTTGACATTTGTTACAGCTGCTGAATATAGTTAGTTAAGATACTTTTCTTTTCTTCCAAAACCCAGTCATGCTTAAAATAGTTAATGAAGAGAACCAGAAAATGCACAGCTGTACTTAATGTTAAAAAAAAATGTTAACTGCTTGTGCAAAGTTATTCATCCCAGTGGAGAAACAGAGTCCAATGTAAACAGCCAGGGCTCATTGGCTTCCCAAGTTGTTGCTTCCTCAAAGCAGAGACGTGGGCTCTCCACCTTGCCTTTAGAGACTTACGTTGAAGACTCCGATCTTTCGGGGTGACTTTTCTGTGGGGTCCTAATTTCTGCCAGGAGTGGAGTGGAAATCTTGGGGGATTAGAACTTGAAAACACTGCTTTTTAAAGGAATGGCTTTATTTTGAGACAGGGTTTCACTGGTTAGCCCTGGCTGGCCTGGACCTCAAAGAGGTCCTCTGTCTCTGGGACAAAAAGTGCAAGCGTGTGTCACCACCACCTATGGCAAGAATAGGCCTTGGTTACTTAGGAAGAAAAAAGAAACAGTGTTAGCAGTTAGGGGACATACAGGTTCAGAAATGCCCCCTCCCCATCTTTTTGAAATGAAGGTGGGTCCAGGTGTTACTATAATAATCTGAAATAAAGTTCTGCTTGAGTTGGGGGTTCGGTCTCATTTAGGGGAGCGTGGTGGCTTGTGCATTTAAATCTTAAGTGAAAATCTCCTTATCGAAATGCTTAAAGAGCGGTCTTGCTAACAAGCGTCTGGTGAATCAATCCTGCTGTGGTTCCTCCTCGGTGTCGGACATTACAAGCTAAGGCTGCTAACGCCGCAGCGCCTGGTGCACAGTGTTTCTCAGCAGCACTGGAGATAAGCTCAGGCCTTGCACAGAGTGCCTTTGTTCCCTCCCCTAGTGTCAAGCTTTAAGAAGTGTTTTATGTTATGAATCAGCTGGCAGCCTTCCCAGAGCAGAGAGTAGTACAGAAGCCCATGAAGCAAACCCACAAAATCAGTCCTGTCTCAAATAAGGGAGGCCTTTTTTTTTTTTTTTAATCCTTCCCGAAAACTGTCCTTTTCGCGTGTGGTTCGTAGCTTGGCTGAGCTTGGCGTGCTGCCCTTTCATTTTCTGCTTTCCTCTCTCCATCCAGGTTGTGGTATCTGAACGGTGACTATCTGGTCCTGCTGGTGTCCTTTGTCCTCATTCTCCCATTGTCACTGCTGAGAAATCTAGGTAAGCAAACACATTTCTGACCAGTGCCGCCATGACCCCTCAGCAGCCGCTAGTATTCTCCCAGAAACTACTGAAGGCTCTCAGCACCTACTCTTGGGGGTGGCAGCAGGGCAAGACCCTTTAAAGGCCCCAGTTGTTAACACTCCATAGATGGCGCTCTAGTGTTCTGTATGCTCTGATTAAAGCCGCTCTCGTTTCCCTCCAGGATACTTGGGGTACACCAGTGGCCTTTCTCTACTCTGTATGATCTTCTTTCTGATTGTGGTAGGTAGTGGTTTTGTTTCCTTTAGAAAATATTCTTAAAGCCCCGTCAGACTATGCAGCATGGCTCACAAATTCGAAATACGTTTTCAGGTGATTTGCAAGAAGTTTCAGATCCCATGCCCTGTGGAAGCCGCTTTGATGGCCAACGAAACTGTGAACGGCACCCTTGCCCAGGCAGCGTTGGTGGCGCTGGCATCCAACGTCACCGCAGCCGATGTTTGCAGGCCTCGATATTTTATCTTCAACTCCCAGGTAACTTGGTGGCAGTCCTGTTTTCTGGGAAGAAATGTTTAGGGGAATAAAAGGAAACTGCCCACTAGGGATTTAAAAATATCTCTTAAGACAAATTGAGGCTGGATGATACAGATGGCTTTTAAGGGGGAAAACGGTGGAGAACTAGATGAAATTTCACATTCTGTCGTAGACAAGGGAGTTGTGAAGTAGTGGCATGACCTCAGAGCCCATCTCGGATCAGATACAGGTCCTAGGTGGTAAAGGGTTAGAGGATAAGAGTTAATCATGCAGAAGCGTGTTACTTCCATCTTTTGGTGTGAAGATCCTCTGAGGTTTAGCTGGGAACCGACAAGGGTGCGTCACCAGTGTGAATACGAGGGGGTGTGAACTTGGTGTGAATTGGCAGGGTGTTGACGGGGCGCTGTGTCTCTTTCCAGACGGTGTACGCTGTGCCCATCCTGACTTTTTCCTTTGTCTGCCATCCTGCTGTGCTTCCTATCTATGAAGAGCTGAAGAGGTAATTGATCTTTGCTCACTAAGACTATGGGGCCTATACTAAGGTTGTAGGTATGGAACTTACTGAAATACACACACTTGTGCTTTCTGTCGTGGGTGTGCAGCCGCAGCCGGAGAAGGATGATGAACGTGTCCAAGATTTCTTTCTTCGCCATGTTTCTGATGTATTTGCTTGCCGCCCTCTTTGGATACCTGACCTTTTACGGTAAGTAGTGCCTAATTTAAGGAAGAGATGAAGCTGACATTATTGTTTGGATAGTTTTACTATAAAAAGTCTCAGTCTGGTTTAATCCGCAATTCCTGGGGTCTAGATTCTGAAGTGGGTGTGAGCCGTTTGGTGTGATGTCTCTGTGGTAGCCTTGGAGCTCTCGAGCCCATGTTTTCAGCTCCCAACTTTAGCTGTAACTAACATACAACACACACATGCATGCACACACACACTAAGCCAGACTGGGATTTAGCTGTTTGACCCCTGTAAGACCTCATTGGAGGTCATGTGGCTAAATCTCAGTATTTAGAACATTTTTTCCTCCAGTGTTACTTTAATTGCATTAACCATAATTCCAGATTAATCTTATTAGCCTCTTAGTTTACGGTCGTTTCATGAGTAGCTAATAATTTTAGTGCAGACTTCACTGTAAGTTAGCCCTCCCACTTGATCCCCAGAGGAAACCACACTGAAAGGCTGTCACTGGTCTGTCCCCACAGAGCACGTGGAGTCGGAATTGCTGCATACCTACTCTGCGATTGTGGGAACTGACATTCTCCTCCTTGTTGTCCGCTTGGCTGTGCTGATGGCTGTCACCCTCACGGTCCCAGTTGTCATTTTCCCAGTAAGTAACCACGGGCTCCTGCAACAGCTATGGGCTTCGAGGGTGGGTGTGGTAAAGAGGTTGGGCACAGGTGGATTCCTGGCAAAGATCAGGAGTATCTGTTCCCTAGAAAAGAATCACTGTCATCGATGTGTCTCAATTTCTTGCAAACTCCTGGCATTAATTAGAGTTGGATTGTTAAATAATAAACAACCCGTGACTTTGTTTCAGATCCGGAGTTCCGTCACTCATCTACTGTGTCCTACAAAAGAGTTCAGCTGGTTCCGGCACAGTATCATCACTGTGACCATCTTGGCCTTCACCAATTTGCTCGTCATCTTCGTCCCCACGATTAGAGACATCTTCGGGTTCATTGGTGAGTTTTGATCGACTTGCCCAGAATATTTGAAGGCTTTAAAGTACAGATTCGCCGAGTTCTCCAATGATAACCGTCGCTTTTACAGGTGCGTCGGCGGCTGCGATGTTGATTTTTATCCTCCCGTCTGCCTTCTACATCAAGTTAGTGAAGAAGGAACCTATGCGGTCTGTGCAGAAGATTGGGGTAAGTGAGATGACCATGAACGAGTGCCTTGTCTCTTTTCTTGTAAAGCTTTAGCAATGAGGTAGTTCACAGAAGAGACTGGGTGGGGGAGGTGGGAACTCCCTGTGCAGTGGATGGTGCGGTTGCAGGGAAGTTATTAAAGAACAGTGTGAAAGTAGTGACGTAACTGTTGGTGCCCTGTATTTGGGCACACATGTGCACATCAGGGGTATTTAGGCTCCAGGAAAGTGAGGTCTGTATAGAGAGTCCTGTGGGCTTGCTCTTGAATGGGTTCAGTGTTGTGTCTTTATCCTTCTGTTTGGTAGCCTCTTGTTTCAAAGTAGGAGATACACTTAGCACAAACCATGAGCTTTGGAACCAGAATCCTAGCAAGGGATACTTCACAGTAAAAGCCTGCCAGCCCTCTGTCCACAACCATTCTGGTCTGAAGAATGAGGTTAGGAATAATCTGGGGTGAACTTTCCTTGGGGAAATGAGCAAAGTTGAGCCCAGGGGGCACCTGGAAACCAAGGTTACCCCCTTACATCAGCGAGTTTAATGCTAGGGTTGTGGGTGAGGAATTACAGGTACATGAGTGTCTGGACCACTGAAGAAAATGCCGGTCCATGGACACTCCAAGTCTAAGACTTACCTGGACTTGATTTTGTGACTTAATTTGCTCTGAAAGAAAAAAATTCCAGTCTAACTCTTTCAAAGGGGGGCCTTTTGCGTGAGGAAAAAAGAATGAAAACGTTACAGAATTCAGAAGGCTTCTACAGTGCAGGCGTTTGTGCTATAAGTAACATACAATTTGATCACTTTAAAACAGTGTATTTTGGGGCTGGGAATTTAGCTCAGTGGTAGAGGCGAGCGCAACCCTCCCCCCCATGGGGGGCATTTCAGTCCTCAGCTCTGAAAAGAAAAAAAGACAAAATAACAAAACAGTTTATATTTTGTCAGGTGAAATTAGAATATTCGTAAGTACCGTAATGAGGAATTTGAGAGTGGTTTGCTGATGCCTCTTCTCTGTCTCTTGCAGGCTCTGTGTTTTCTCCTGAGTGGCGTAGTGGTGATGATTGGAAGCATGGGCTTGATTGTTCTGGATTGGGTGCACAATGCCTCTGCAGGTGGGCATTAACAGCCCCACTCAGAACTGGATGGTCCATCCGCCTGCCGCGTGAGTCCGACTCTCAACTCGCTCGTCGCTCGGATTTCACCTGATGCTCTCAGGTCACTTCCTTTTGAAGTGGTCTCCTCGCTGGTTCTTCTGGATGCAGAATAAGTGAACTTTTCTTTCTCTTTGTTTTTTTAAAAGAAGCTTATCTGTGTGTTAGGGAATGGATATTGACAACAAAAACCACGAGCCTTGGGGTAAGGGAAGTGACAAGTGTATTCCATTCCAGAGAATGGACGAACTTTTAACTTTTATCAAAGCCACTTGTTTGGCTGTCTCATTGTTTAACTTGGATATTTTATGATTTTACTTGAATGTGCCTAACGGAACCATTCGATGTGAGAAACACTTCTTAATTTACAGCAAAGTATTGAAATAAGCATTGAGAAAACACTTATTTTTTGTACCAAAAAAAAGAATACTTTAAAAGACCTCAGAAGCACTATTTTACTTTGAAGAAACTGCATTTTTGAACTTTATCCAGAACCAGTTGTCAATAAACTCTGTAAAACAATTTCATTGATATTTAAAAATGAATATTAGTGCTATGAAATTATTTGCCTTTTTTGTAGGCATTATAAGCCAAATACTTTTTTACCCAAAAATCATTTTCGGGAAAAAAATGTTACAAAAAATTGTACCATGAATTAGCATGGTTTTGTTTTTGTTCATTCAGATTCATTTGAAGGATAATTGGTAATGGCTGCACCAAATCAGGTGAACTCTGTTCATCGCTTTTTTTGCCTCCAGATAATTGGTTCATTAAAACTAAAATGTTTATGTCATCAATTAGGCTGGGAAACAGTGCAGAGATTTCTGTAGGAAATGAAATAACTGATTTTGAGGTACCAAATAGTGCAATTGGGTAAAACAGGGTTTATTCAGTTGCGTCTGTCTCCAGAGTTATTGTCAGCTCTGGGTCGTGCTTTTGGGCCCATCCTTTAAAACATTGCTTCCAAAAGTGAAACCGGGCGTTTGATGGCAATAGGCCCAAACTGTCCAATAGAAAGTAGAACTTTCAGACGCTCATCTACTGGAAGCGTGACTTACTTGACAACACGTGGCCCAGTTGTGCTCCTGCCGTGTCTACAGCAGAGGTCTCAATGGCAGGCTGCACCACGCTGGTACATGGCACGCTCGCTTCAGAAAGGTCACTGGGTTTCTCATGCAGTAAGCTTTCTAAAAACTTGCACTGGATCGTCATCTCATTCTTGTACAACGCAGAATTATTTGTTTACATCGAACAAATGATTAGCTAGGGGAAGAAGTACAAGCTGGTTGTCCTCAGTTTCCGGTCCAACTGCATGCTTGCCTTTCCATTTCAATTCCAGTTAAAAGTGAAGACATTACTTTGGAGCTTGGCTTTAAGAGCACATTTACTGTATGTTAACGGTGTATGGTGAATATATTATTAAATAATGTGGTACTTTGCTCATCAGGCATAATGTCTAAGATCTAATATACATAATTCCATTAAGTGTGGTGGAGGGGAGCAAGTGGTAGCATCTGTTGATCATCTGGCTTGTGAGGTTTTTTTTTCTCTTGAACTAAATGTCTTTAGTTTGAGGCAAGGGCCAGAAGAAATGTGACACACATGGTTTTTGTTACAGTTTTGTGTATTGTATATGTGACTAAACTCATAGGCAAGATGTGTCTGCTATGAAAGACCTTTGCAGACTGAAAGACATCTGGTAGTGCTACATTGGATACAACCAATGGTCAGTTCTGCCCCGAAGATGAAACCATTGGGGACCGTGTAGACGCAAAGGCAGTGAGAAGACACTCCACCGTGCTGCTTTCCTGTCATCCAAATCCAGAACCTCACCTGTAGTCAAAAGACTTTGCATTTCCGCTTGAAGTCCTGGAAAGAGTCTCCGATAAGATCTGCCAGGGGATGCTGAGAAACAGGCATCCAAGAGAAGGTGCCATGGCAACCAGGATCCTGTTCACAGCCAATCAGTGTGGAGAGACTTCCCAAACCTTTTGTGAGGGAGCATGATCGAAGGTTCCAAAATGAATTTCAGGCCAAATTCCAATGCTTGGGGCTATTTTATCTGCCTTGAGGTTCCTAAACTGAGTTCTCAGTCTTGAGCAGTCTTCAGTATTAAAACCACTGTCCTGTCACCTCAGTTTGCATTGCTGTCTTCCACGGAACGTTTCAATAACTGTACTGTTATTTATAAAGCAGCATTAATCCATTAAAGCTAACCTATTTTTCAATATTTATGATAAACTGTACATACATTGTCCATATGTATTTGTAAATAGATTGTATATACTGTCGGAATTGGGTCTTGGGTTCAAGTGTAAATATTCCCCCAAGTTTCTTAACTGCATTTTGATGAATTCACATTATACATAAACCCCCAAATGACTTGTACAGGAAATTCAGTATTAGAAATTGACATTCTGTATACTACTAAAATTGAAAATAACTCGTTTGAATTGTATTTGGAATGAACTGGTTGGATGTCAGCTTAAGTTCAGATATCTAATTAAAGCTTTAGATGAGGCATAAATTTTCAAAATACAGTAGCTACAAACGTGGCTGTCTGGGTGACATGTGATCTCAATGAAAGTCACGTGAACTCCTTGTGTGTGTGTATATAGTGTAAATGTCCCCACTGTACTGTTAGAGGCTAACATGCCCGTGTGGCCTGTTAGCAGGGAGTGAGTGCTACACCAGTTTCAATGAAACCATGTATGTTTGTTTTAACTGAACTAAAATAAATACCCGCTTAATCCTGAGTAGCCTTTTTTCCTTCTGGGTAATGAGGTGCGTCTGGAGGAAAAAACTGGTTTACAAAGCTAGGAAGGTGGAGGTCCAGGCTTATCCCTGCTGGTGGTAAGCAGTCAGTTGTAGTGCATCCAAGTGAACAGCAAAGGAAGTGTTAGGAAGCAATCCTGTTGCCCAGTGGACATTAAGGAGTCTTAGGTCTGAGGGGAAGGCAGGTTTTGACGGTTGTATGAAGGGATGGTCTTCCTTAGCAACCTGAAAGGCAGCGTGGTTTAGCTTAGGTATAACCTGGTCCTTCCAGGTTTAGGAGATAATAAAACGGAAAAGTCTTGAGAGATTCCAAAGGCACAGCTCTGAGAGATTTGTCCCTCGTCAGCAGTGCCATTACAAAATGGCTGAGGGCTTGTGTGGAGCTAAGGTGTTTTAACAGGTTTTCGCTGGACATCTACTGTGTGCAGTTGATGTCAGTGATGGTAGGGGTTCTTGTCACATTGTTTCTGATGCTGGTTTTGATCTAGTGCTGTGTCAGGCTATACAGTCTTAAACAAATATTTGGGCTGGTGGGATGGCTCAGCAGTTAAGAGCACTGGCTGCTCTTCCAGAGGTCATGAGTTCAAATCCCAGCAACCACATGGTGGCTCACAGTCATTAGGGGAATCTGATGCACTCTTAAAGCAGGCTGACATAAACGTGTGTGTGTGTGTGTGTGTGTGTGTGTGTGTACAGCAGAGCACTCCTACATTAAAGTTTAAAAATACATAAAAGAAATGTAATTAAAATTAGTAAGTAGGTACATGGGGACAGGTCCACAAAGTGTCCAGTGACACTAGACAGTGAGCCAGCCAGTTCTACGAGGTTCCACAAAGCCCTTGGGACATTGGGTCAGACATCCCCGTACCTGGGGAGATGACTTGGAAGAAGGATGATGGAAACCTGCATAGTGTAAGCAAGATGTGGCAGAATGAACGGTAGGTGCCCAAGAGAGATGGGCAGATGTCAGTGGCCTTGCAAATATCCACACCAGCCTATTCGAGAGACCAATGACAATCACGGGATGTTAACTATAGGGCCAAGTAGTCAGATTCTCAGCCCTCGACTTGAGTTTCTCCAAATGAACGAGCTGACCAGGATACAGTCAGGGTCCACCATGATCTCTTCAAATAAAGGTGGCAGGGTGAGGAGACTGGAGACAGAATTGCCTGGAGCAGGCCCTGAGGTACGAGTAGTTTTCAGAAGAAGGGTGCTGTGATAGATACTACCGTTTGTCAATTTGGGTCCAGAATAAACTACCATCCAGAAGCGGAAGGTACACCTGTGATCCAGATCATGAGGCCGGAAGACAGGACTTGAAGCATTAGTAGCCATGAAAAGTTTAGGCCCAGGCAAGGTGGTACACACGTTTAATCTCAGGAGACAAGCAGGCAGATCTCTGAGTTCAAGGCCAACCTGTTGGTGCCATTACAAGTAAAGTCCCAAGTAAAGAACAGCTTAGGTCCAGGCGTGGTGATACACACCTTGTATTCTGGACCACATCTTTTGCTAGAGGCCTCCATAAGGACAATGGAGGAGGGAGGCGTTTTCTCTGCTTACACTTCCTTGCCAGCGCGTCTGTTGGAACTGACTTCTTCAGGACTCCAGCTTGCTTATACAGAAGAGCAGCTGAAACACCTATGCTCTTGGGACTAAGCCACTACTAGATTCCTGGACTTCCCATTCACAGCTGCCTGTCATTGGGTTAGTTGGATTACAGTCATCCCAATAAATCCCCTTAACATAGAGAGACATTCCATAAGCGGCGACGCTAGAGAACCCTGACTACAGGTGGGATGGTGATGGGTGAGAAATGGTGACAACCTATAGTCCTCTGTTTGCACTGTTATGGAGGATCTATGGAAACCCTTTCCGTCCCCAGCAGTGTGGGTGGACCCTGGCAAGAAAAAATCACCCCGTAAATGTCTTAATGAAACAGTCCCACGATGGCAGCAAACTGGTCTTTGGATTTCCTTTTCCTCCAGATAGTCCCACAGCCAGTGGGCTGGCTTTTGTGACTGACCCAACTCATCAGCACCTCATCACCTGCACCCACCTGCATTTTCCTGTAAGCGCCACACCTCCCTCTTCATGCGTTTATCCACCCTTCAGCCTCGGACTCCACATAACAGTTAAACGAATCAGAAGTCCTTATTCCGTCTTAAAGTTGAAATGAGCCTCACTTTTTGTTGTTGTTGTTGTTGTTGGTGGTGGTGGTGGTGGTGGTTGTGGTGGTTTTTTTTCTTCTTTTTTTCGAGACAGGGTTTCTCTGCATAGCCCTGGCTGTCCTGGAACTCACTCTGTAGACCAGGCTGGCCTCAAACTCAGAAATCCGCCTGCCTCTGCCTCCCAAGTGCTGGGATTAAAGGCATGCGCCACCACCGCCTAGCCCCTCACTTTTTTTAATAGCAAGAATTTACTAAATCCTTGACAGATAAATACAGCACATGCCATAAAATTAGAAAGCAATTTTTTAAAAATGTAATTACAGCAGGGGGCTTTCTCGTCTAACTTATGATCAGCCTTCAGGTGGCGGAGGCTGCTATCCTTTTTTTTTTTTTTTTTTAAAGATTTATTTATTTGTTTTATTTATGAGTACACTGTAGCTGTCTTCAGACACGCCAGAAGAGGGTATCCAATCTCATTATGGATGGTTGTGAGCCACCATGTGGTTGCTGGGATTTGAACTCAGGACCTCTGGAAGTGCAGTCAGTGCTCTTAACCACTGAGCCATCTCTCCAGCGAGGCTGCTATCCTTAACCTCCACCACTTAAGTGTTTTGTTCAAGTCTCCATCAACTTTGTCCCTCACCAACTGGGGAAAAAGTGTTAACTCAAGGAGGCTGCTCGCTGACCCTTGGTGATTCCTAGGAATGTTGCCACCAGAAGGTTTTCATGTTAGCCTTGAGGATTTTATCGTAGGCACCCTGTAGTAACAGACATGCGGTGCTGGTTTGTCAGGCTGCTTTGCCTGAACAAGTTTAATGATGTGCACCTGGTTTCATTGTTTGGGGGTCTTGGTGTCTGCCAAGTTACATAGTAGCGCTCTGCAAGCAGCCCTTCCTCCAGCGAGCCTTGAGACTCCTTCAAGAGGCTTCCCACTTGTGGCTCACGCAGTCGGGTGAAAAAGAAAAAGAGCTCCTCTGTGTGGACTCAGACAAGAAACGTCTCCGAAGCCTGTGCTGGGATCCCAGGATCCTCTGTTAGGTGTCTTTTCCTTTTGTTTTAACTCTACTTTGCTGTAGTAAATCTTGGCAGTCAGTTACCTGCTCTAGTTTCTCAGGAGTCAACTTCAGCAAATGCCACAGATAAGTTCTGATTTTTTTCCCTTCGACATTGGCTCTTGCCATCTCTAGGAAGAAGCGATTTTGGAGATTCAGAACCTCAGTTAGCTGGGGCTTCAACAAGTCCCATTTGGCATCTTTTCCTCCCATGTTCCTTAGGCTGAGCTGTGAACTGGGGGAGTCAGTCTGTCCTTCCGTACCATATGCAGCCTGTTACCTCTCCATTCCAGGAGACTTTCACGCTGCCTTCAGAGCCGCCTGTGCTCAGGAAGTAAAAGCTTTGAAGCGATCCGGAGAACTTACCTCCCAGAGAGGATGCTGCACTGGCCACACACTTCCATCCGAATTCTGCTCTTGTGTGTACGTGCGTGCGAGCGTGTGTGTGTGTGTATGGTGGGGTGTCTCTCTTACATTCATTCTTCCGTAATGACATTCCTAGCTGTTTTTTCTAACACCATACAGTGCTCACTTATCCAGAAAGGGGTTCAGTGTTTCTGAGTCAGTTGAACATGTCTGATTAGAGCCCAATCTTTTTTCTTAAGGTTTATTTATTTATCTTATGTGATTACTCTACAAATTATTGTGCTGTCTTCAGACACACAAGAAGAAGGTGTCAGATCCCATTATAGATGGTAGTGAGCCACCATGTGGTTGCCAGGAATTGAACTCAGGATCTCTAAGTGCTCTTAACCAATGAGCCATCTCTTCAGCCCGTGAGCCCAATCATTTATGTAGGCTAAAGGAGAAGTGATAGGCTGAAGTCTAATGTCTGAGCTCAGGCCCCTCCATCCCCCACAACACACACACACAGTGTCCTTCCATAGTAGGTATGAAGGGATGAGTCCTTCGCTCCTGCCAGTGACTCCATGCCGCCCAATAGCTTTCAGATTACCCTAAAGCTCCCTGGGAAATCGGCTCTCCCTTTGGGCAAACGGGCTGCCCACTACATACACAATTTCTTCCTGGTGTCTCTATGGCAGAACAGGTGAAGAAAACAGACACAAATGTCACAAAATCTTACATGATCCCCAGTGAACAATGATGTCATTAAAAAGGATCACCTTCCTGTGTAGGAAGAAATGGTAGAGACGCCATTAAAAAAAAAGTCTGTCCTTCAGTATCAGGGGTAGTTCTGAATACATTATCATAAACCAGTCTTCAGAGTCATCCACTGCTTGAGGATTTGGGGAAATATTCTGTATCATTTATATATATATATATGCATATATATGTATGTATATTCCATATATAATATCCCCATGTAATATATATGTATACAGAAACATACACACACACACATGTATGTGTGTGTGTATAAAAACTTTCAAGGCTACATTTTGACATTTTTACTGAATCTGTAGCAAAATTATCCACCAATATATGTTTTAAAAATTTTAAATTAAAATAGAATGCATCAGTTTCTCCTTCATTTTTATCTCTCCAACCCTTTCAATGAACCCCCTTGATCCCGCTAATTCATGCCCTCTTTAGTTGATAGTGTTACATGTATGGATAAGTATGTAAAGGCAACCTGCTTAGTCGACTTAGTGGTTTTTTTTTGTATGTAATGAGTTCAGGGCTGTCTCCATGGAGGTGGAGAGCGAATCTGGAGGCTCTTCCTTGGGGAGGACCATCTCTAAACAGCTGTTATCCTTAACCCACAGATTTTAAGTATTCAAATATTTATTTTAAACATGC